TCCGGAAGCAATAACAATTCAAGCAGATTTTTGAAATTTTTCTTTCAAGCGTAGCGATGTGTTCCGCTAAAATGACCAAAGTTCTGTGGAGCGTTTTTTCCAAAAAACTCAACCATTTTTGAAAAAAACAAACATTCTTTCAAAGTTACTTTTTTTTTATTTTTTACAGAATACGTAAACATTTTTCACGAAAACGCTTCACAATTCTTCTTGAAAATGAGTTTTCTTGAATCTGATCAAATGTCAGAATTTTCTGACATCTTTGAAAATTGTTATTGAGTTTAGAAGTCAGTTTTGGAAAATTTTTCAGAAAGTGGCGAAGAGCCTTCTTTTGTTCTGCGCTTTCCTTTGGTCTTACCGATTCTGCGCTTGCAGTGCCGCCACACTGAATGCGTGCACAGCGAAGAGTGGACTTTGGCCACTCTTTAATGTGCACTCACGGGATAGCGCTATGTGTTTCCATTGTCTAGCGTCTTTGTTATCCTGTATTCGTCCTCACTGTGTAAACATGAGCCTTGTCTGGTCCTATTACACTTGCAATCTGGCATGGAATATAACAGCCACAAGGCATATTCCAGATTGAAAGGAAGCACATCTCGGTGCAATCTTTCTTTCACTAATCTTGATCACAGGTGGCAGTACTGTAGAAAGATACGCTAGCCCGCCAAATCGCTCCTGGTCGGCAACGAAAAAACTTGAATAAGTTTTTTCGTAGCTACCTGAATCTACTCAACTTTCGCCCAGTAATAGATATAACTATTCTTATTACACTGTAGAATTTTGAAAATCTCATTTTCAGAGATTTTCATAGTATAAATTCTACTTAAACGACCATCCCCATTCACTTATCATACTGTTTCACTTAAACGACCATACGAGAAGAGAAGTGGACCGCTGTTGGCTCGCACTAAAAGACCGAAGCGAAGCCAGAAACAGAATTATACGTAGAGATGTAGCTTTTACTGACTGTGTTGTCCGTGATAAAAGGTTGAACATTGCATATCAGACAAATATTACTTAGATTAACTTCATTTTTGATAGATTTAGGGAAAATGGAGCGTCTGGCCCAATTTTTTAATTGAACTGTTTCTTGATTTCTGTATGCTGTTCGCCTACAATTAACTGCACCATTTTTCGTAATAAATACGAGTACTTCTATTGCTCGAAATCGACAAATACTTCTCTGCTGCATACCGTTCCGTAGCTACAGAAAAGGCAAATACTGCCCACTCATGCTGATACAAGCTCGTACCATACCATCAACAACACTGCATTTGAAAAACGATCCCAGTTCGAGCGTAAATATACAGGCACAGCAGCCACAACCAACGGCGCGTTACCTCTTATCACGCCAAATTTCCAAACTTAAACGCTGAAACATAATAAAGGGCTTAATTGACATATTCTACTGTACCGGTATAGTTCAACCTATTATACACCTAATTCCAGCATGCACCGTAATTTGAGCATGTAAAGCACGTCACGATTCTATTCACGTGTAGTTAACATAAACGCTGCAGGCAACTGAAGTACTGGATGTGCCGTAGTAATAATGGATTGGATTCAGAGGGACGCAGGAATCCGGGTATTGCGACACACGACACGCCCCCTTTCTAGTGGTCTCTCTGTTACAGTTATGTGTGTGTGTGAATTGGTATAAATTGGGAAATGCTAAGCGCTAACATGTGTCACTTGCTTCGTAAAATTTTTTTACCGGTATTTTGTATACCGAATGCATACCGGTATTTTTTGTGTAGTTCTGTCGTGACCTTTCGCATTTACGCGCCATCATGATTCTAGCGTCTTTTGCTATCAGCTTGCAGTTGTTTTGAGGTATAACTATAATAATTCATCATGTCTGCATCGGTTTATGCAAGTGTCGGGTATGTATCTGGTGATTTTGTTGGACCAGCTAGTAAGAAGAAGTTGGATCGCATCAATCGGCAACACGTCAAATGCACCATTTATTATATGGAAAGAACAACTGCCTGTAACACGAAGATGAATGCGGACTTCCTTTGGATCCAGCCACCGTAGTTATTGCCAGTATTCTACCTGTTTTGCATCACTCGCTCAGCCTTGTGGACGCGGTTTTATGGCTTATGCCCACTTGGCGGAATCCCGTCAAACCTTCAAACACCCACAACGTATTTTTCAAAGTCGTCCAGGAGGTTTCGCCCGCTGCCCCCGCATTTTACCGCACACACTTGTGCGCAAACCTTGCCGGAGACATCGCCGCGAGACCTGTTTCACCGAAAAGCCGGTAAGCCAGTACCACCTCCAAACATGACCTGCATTATGTTCCTGGAGAGTTACTCCTGTCTGGTTCCTACCTAAAGTTTTTCCTGACCCGGATTCATCGTCTTCGCTTACGTGTCCTGTTATCATTAAATTGTTACCGCTATTGCTGCATGACCTCCCTGCCTTTCACATTCCGGATCTTCGACCTATCGTCGTATTGTGCAACCTTCAGTTGGCCTTTAACCATTGTTTACTTGCGGATTCCGTCCTTATTGCATTTGATCTGTGGAATTCCCAGATCTCCTGGAGACTAGTTTATCGTTTTGCCTTTAATTCGTAGGAGAAATAGGAATTCCATTGCGCCCTGCTTTATGTACAAATTCCAGTTGTGTACGTTCCTATGTGCAGTACTGCATGATGTAAGTTCGCAAAAGCAGCACCTTACCTTCGAGTTTTGCGCCGTTACCTTATGTTCACCTTCTATAGAACCGTTTTCGTGGTTGCCATAATTCGTCTTATTGTCATTGCCGCAGGATGCGACAGGAATTCCGTCGCTACCTGCTTTGTGTACGCAATTCTTTGATTTGCGGACATTAATTTTGTGAGCTGTGCTGTGCTTGGCGTGATTTCCGCCGGAACAGCACTTTAAATTATTAGCGTTCAGTCCAAATTCAGTCGTGGATTTAGGCCAGTCTGTGGAATTCCCAGACCAACTAAAATCGTTCGTCTGCCTTGCCTTATTGCCGTCGGATGTGCAGGACTTCCTTGCAACCGGCTTTATTACATCTTTCGTGCAAACTCGTGTACTTCGCTCGGTGGAATACCGCCCTAAGCCGTACTGATTTGCTATTTCTGTGGATCACTTAATTTGCCAATTATTTCGTGAATGCGCAGGGATGTGCGGAATCCGCACCTCACTAGCCGCGCTCATGTAAGTGTTTCCCTTGAATCAATGGAACCAGTCTTCATAATCGTCGCAACCGATCCTAGGAACTATCGTCATCATCACGCCGCATTGGATCTTCTTTTGTGTCCTTTTCGTGTTTTCGTTTTGGGTTTTGGGCTTGGGGCCGGTTCCGGCCATGTTCGGCATAACTGCCCAAAGGAAGTAAATTCCGAGCCCACCTTCGGTGTTCTCGCGTGGCGTGTAGGAGCAATGGATTGGATTCAGAGGGACGCAGGAATCCGGGTATTGCGACACACGACACGCCCCCTTTCTAGTGGTCTCTCTGTTACAGTTATGTGTGTGTGTGAATTGGTATAAATTGGGAAATGCTAAGCGCTAACATGTGTCACTTGCTTCGTAAAATTTTTTTTTGTTTTTGTTGTCTTTGTGATGGCTTGGGGCCGGTTCCGGCCATGTTCGGCATAACTGCCCAAAGGAAGTAAATTCCGAGCCCACCTTCGGTGTTCTCGCGTGGCGTGTAGGAGCAATTGTAGCATTTAATTTTGTGATCAAGGAAATAACAAGAAGACATTGTCACCCCTCTAAACATTAGCGACTCCGGCCGGTGGGCCGGTCCAGTGTCTTTTCCCGGGTGCGGTGACCTTAGCTGCATCCGCGCGCGTACCACCCTGTCTTCATATGTCGCACGTGCGCGACGTGCAACCTATAACCATTCATAACCGATAGATCCACTTGCGGATCTATCGATACTGGTACGCGTACGTAACAGAGTCAGCGTCGTTTATTGCTTTCCATCGCAGTATTAATAGCCAAGAACAAGCAGCCAACGAAGCCGATGAGAAGACCGGCAAGAAACAGCCAGATTGCATACTGCTGCAGTTGTTCCTCGCGTTGCACGCGATGCCAGGCACTAATACCGCATCCGCACTGCTCGCACAACGGCGGCATCTCCCGCACTGGCTCGAAGTGCGCCGGCTCTGCCCCGTCAATCCCCTGGGCGTCCCTCCGCATATCTATGATGCGGCGATAGGCGGCCGCTCGGTCCACCCCGTTGGAGGCCGTGAAGCGGATACTTCCGGCGCCTGGGAAGTCCAGGCTGACCTGCAACGGCTGACATGCCGGCTTCCTCATCTGCGGTCCGGCGGTGCGCCATGTATGGTAGTCGTCGCCCAGTGGTCGTAGGAGGTTGTAGGGCTTCAATTCGCGTGCCTCCCGCAGCCCGTTAAATGGCATGCAGACGAGGCCGCTGCGCCCGCACCGCGCACCCAACTGCTGGTCGTTGCTGATCAGCCAGACGTCGCCCAGTTCGCTGTGGTATAAATCCAGGCATAACATCAACACCAGGCCGTCGTTGCGGGAGCGGTAGGTTGTTCCGTGGCCGGCCGGGTAGAAGGCATCCTGCAACTTCTGGGCATGCTGGAAGCTCTCGACCCAGACCCGCGCCGGACGTGTCACCGGATCCGTCAGGTAACGATAGGCGGCGTGCGCGCTGTGGGGTGCTTTATAGTTGGGTTTCCGGGAAAGCAGCTGCAACTCCGTCAGGACGATGTGCGGCACCGCCAGCGCGACCGATGCCGGTAGCGTGCCGGTCTGGCCGGCCGCTATCTCCCGGAAGAGCTGCAGTCCGTCCGGGATCATCAGCACGTTGGTGTCAAACACCAGCGTCAGCCCACCCGATCCCGCCATAATTCATTTGCTATCATCAACGTGTATAATGTATATTCTATTCTGTTGTACCAAGAGAATGCAGCTGATGGCGAACATGCAAGATGAACAGCTGATCGTCTGCAGAAAGCAGATGTTTTATTGAATTTGCCACCAACTACGCAGCGACATACTAGTAAGTAATTATAAAAGAATGATGCCTGTATTGCTAGCGGCATGAGCATTTGAACAGACAGTTATTCATGTACAGACAGTTATTCATACATGTCACGATTCTATTCACGTGCCGTAGCCAACATAAGCGCTGTAGGCACCCGGAAGTACCGGATATACCGGAAGTACACAGTAATTAATGTAGCCGTTGTAATTTTTAATCGGCGGCGGCTTAACTCGTAAAACACCTTGCACGAATTTCGGTATCGTGGAGAAAATAATGAACCATTAATATCGTTGTTGCAACTAACTGGTCAGTAAGAATCGACAGTGAATAAGCGGAAGACCTCCTTATCGATCCTGCACAGCAGTCCGATAACGAACCCGATAACAAACACCGCCACCGCCAAGATTTTCAAATCGCTGTCGCGTTGCGTCACATGCCAGCCGCGCACCCCGCACCCGCACTGCTCACACACCGGCGCCGGCTCCCCGGTGTCAGTTTCCGGCACCTCCCACGCCCCGCCCCGATTTTCCTCCCGCTGCTGGACAATCCGCCGGTACGCAGCAATCCGCTGGACCTCATCCGACGCCACGAAGCGGATCTCCCCGGCGGCCACCGCCCTTCCGACGCGGATGGTGGCGGTCATCGGCTGGTGCGGCGGGACGCGGTGCCACTGGTGGAAGTCGTCCCCTTTCGGGCGCAACACACTGTAGCGCAGCAGGTCCCGCGCGTGGCGCAGCGCGTTGAGCGGAAGACACGCCACGCGGCTCCGAACCGCGCGGGCGGTTAATTGCAGGTCCTCGGTGACCAGCCAGATGTTGGCGGCGCTGCGGTAGTGCAGTTGCAGGCAGTAGAGCAGCACCAGGCCGTCGTTCTTGGAGCCGTAGGGCCCGTGTTCGCGCGGGTAGAACGTGGCTTCCAGTTCGTCGGAGGCCGTCTGGCCTTGGTGGCGCACCGCTGAGAGCACCGGAAGTTGCTGGAGGAGGTAGTTGTAGGCTGCGCGGGCGGTGTGTTGGGTGGCGGGGGTGGCGTTGTGGTGGCGCAACTCCATGAGGACGATGTGCGGGACGACGAGGGCGAGCGAGGCCGGGAGGGTGCCGCGGTCGCCGCGCGCCAATTCCTGGAAGAGCTGGAGCCCGTCCGGTCGGATGATGGCGTTGGTGTCGAACACCAGCATCAGCCGGCCCCAGTCCTCCATTGTACGGGTAATTCCGAGTTGGCGAGAATGGGATGGGGAGAGAAAGTATGCAGTGCGAGTTAATCAAGCAACTGTATGTTTTGCCGGCAAAAATGCCGCACGTGCGTCGTATCGCGTGGCGAAGAGTCGGCTTTTGTGCGATACAGACAGTGGGTTGTTATTCACTCGGCCGGCATTAATTGGCCAGCGGGCACACACACCGGCGCTCAACCGACAGTCAGCTGAAGACTCATAACCGGTCTGACTGCACTTGTGAACCGGCATTAATTGTCTCCTTGACGTTGTAGTATACTGCTTAATTCCCCGCTGTTCTCAGCGATATTTAGCAGTTGCTCTGTAATACTGTAGTTGCAGCAGTTTTAGTAGTAGTAATACTGTAGTTGTAGTTGTTGCTCACCTGTGCGCTCATATCCTGCCAGTGGCCGGCTTTTTACCCGAGGAAAATGCGTACACTTTCGCCTAACGGGTGGTTGTGCCGGAAGAGGATACCGGAAATGAGCCAACGGGAGTCCGATAGAACCAGCCGGATGTGAACGTTGTGTGCAAGTAGTCGGCTGCGTTAATTTTTGTGTTAGTATTATACTAACCGGTGGCCCGGGCCACGGTATTCTTACTGGATTTTCAATTCTTGTCCATCTTCTTGGACCCAGATTGTGCCGAATCGCCAGCTGCCATACCCCCTGTGACTCGGCTTGGATAGAATAAAAGCTAAAGTCGAAATCAGCGCATATTCACCAAAATATGAGACTTACATCACCTTATAGAATAAAATGTGCAGTTTTTTAATAAATTTTTTGTTTTCCGGTAAGTAGTACTATTTTTGTGTATTAATCATCTAAAGCAATATGAGCGCAGGCGTACTCAGCGTACACCCCGCTTGGCAGTCTGTCGTGTTTTGTTGTTGCGCCCGCCTTAGCATGGCAGCACCGTAGTGTTCTCAGCGCCACCGCATGGTGTGGCAGCTACGTGCGCTTGCTGTAGTCAGCAATGCAGAGTTGCCCATGGGGAATTTCTATCGAAATTCAGTGTTGATATAAAATTCTAGCAATCGCGTCCTATTTTCGCTTTTCCATAGCGTAGGCGTTATAGCATTGCCAGATTTCTTTGGCAGACAGAGTTACGTCAACTCTGATTCTGCGACGTGAACCTTGCCAGGTTCCCGTCTTATATGGTTCAAGGCTGACCCAAAGGTCACCGCAGAAAGTAACTGCGGGTAACAGGGTTGATGAAAGGGCATCAACTCTGCATCCGGATCAGCAGAAAGAAACTGCAACGAAAGGTCACGAAAGTAACATGGCGCTGCAACAAGTGCAACCGGGGCTGACCCAAAGGTCACCGCAGAAAGTAACTGCGGGTAACAGGGTTGATGAAAAGGCATCAACTCTGCATCCGGATCAGCAGAAAGTAACTGCAACGAAAGGTCGCGAAAGTAACGTGACGCTGCAAGGACAGCAGACCCAAAGGCCACAGCAGAAAGAAATTGCAAAGAAAAATCACGAAAGTAACGTGACGCTGCAAGGACGGCAGACCCAAAGGTCATCGCAGGAAGCAACTGCGAGGAAAGGTCACGAAAGAAACGTGACGCTGCAAGGACAGCAGACCGAAAGGTCACCGCCTCAAACAGAGAGCGAGACAACGAGGAGGAGGAATTACTTCGCAAAGACAGTAGCGAGGTTAAAAGCCGGAGATTCGGAAGACGAGAAGTTCGTCGAAAAGACGTGGGAAGAAGACGGAATAACCGTGACAGTGCGACGCACACATGAAGACGGTCCAGATCGACCAAAATTCTTCGAGCATATGAGAGAAACACTCCAGAAGAGAAAAGCTGCTGAGAAAGGTCACGAAAAGGTTGCGACAGCGCAAGGAGCGCAAGAGACCGAAAGGTCACCTCAAGAGAGAGTTGAAGAAGTGAAAGGTCACGAGAGACAGCCAGTGCAAGAGACTCAACAGTCACTGAAAGAGAAAGGACACGGTGAAGTCGCCGTAGAACCGAAAGGTCAAGAAAGTAACTTGACTCTGCGAATGGCGCAGCAAACAGTGAAAGTTGGCGAAGGAGCACAGCAAGTCTCAGACGACTCTCTTGAATCAGCAAATAAGCTGCAGCAAAAGATGGAGTGGCAAAGGTCACCTATAGACGGCATGGTATGTGGAAACAAGTTCCTCCGCCACAAAGGTCACCGCAAGATGCGAGAATTTCCAGAGAAGCTTACTGGGAAGAAAGAGAGAAACAAGATTGGCGAGCGAGAAAGCATCTCGAGGAACTCGTGAAAGCTTCCCAACCAAAGGTCAAGGAATACCGAGAAGCAAAAGAGAAAATGGACGAAGAAAACCGTCAGTTTCATGAGAGAATTGTTAAGGGTGAATTGCCGCCGCAATATGGCGAGAAAGTGCCTTTACAAAGGTCACCGAATGGCGGATTTTTTATGTCACGACCAGAAAGGTCATCGGACTTAGTGAAAACTCCACAAAGGGAAAGGTCATACGACTTTGCGCAAGCACTCCGGAATGACAAAGAAAGGTCACCGCCCAAAACTGACGGATTATCATCACAAGTTGAACCAACAGAAGAAATAAACAAGAAATTCAGAGAGTGGATGAAAGAAAACGATCACAAGATGATCGTCTATGAAAGGTCACCAGAAGAACTGGAAGACAAAGACGATGAGATGACCCTCGCGGATCGCATTACGCAAGAGATAATTGAGAGGTTGCGAGAGAAACTGTCCAAAGATGAAAGGTCAAGATACGAAGTCATAAAAGAAGTGACGAAAGGTCACGAGAACGCACAAGCGAAGGAGAAAATGTGCGAAGCATCAAAGGTCACGAATAACGCTGCGAAGGGGCAGGCGTGTGACTTGCAACCTGAAAGACAAATTCGGAAATTTTATGATGCTAGGACTAACGTTCCGAAGAGGTTTGATCGGTTGAGTTCAAGAGACATCAACCAAAACGCGCAGGTGAAGGGGCTAATGCGCGAAGTTCCAAAGGTCACGGAAGATAATAACGCTGCGAAGGGGCAAGCGCGTGACGTACCATCCGGAAAAAGAATCCGAGAATTTTACGACGTAAGACCGGATGTCCCAAAGAGGATTGACAAGCTGTCTCCGATAAAGAATATGAACCCCCGATCAAATGATCCGATTCAAGTCCATTGCAGAATTAGAGTGTTGAAACTTCAAGATGGAAACACGCCCAAGCGAATCGAAGCGCTGACTCATGAAGTTAAAGTGGGAAATGTAAAGGTCATGGCAATGTTGGATACAGGCGCAGAGACGTCTTTGATCTGCCAACAGTTCTGTGAAAGGAATGGCCTCCAGACTGTACCGCTACCGCCAAAGAGGACGGTGATGATCAAAGGAATCAGCGGAACCTCAGGTTTTCAAGTGACGCACTATTGCGTAGCGCCAGTGACCTTACGAAAGAAAACAACTCAACACTCTTTCTACGTCAGACCAGCGTCAGATGACGTCCAGGTTCTGCTTGGATTTGACTTCCTTGCAAAGAAGTTCGTCTTAATAGACGGAGATGAAACATATGACGAAGACGCCGATGAAGATGAAGATAAGGAAAAAGATGATGAGCCGAAATCCACTGCGAAAGTTAACGCAGGAAAGGTCACCGAACTTCAACCAAGGAATGAAGCGGGGCAAACGGCTATCCCAGTACCAGAGGCACAGGGGTCGAAAGGTCAACAGCAAAAAGAAACTGATGAAAAGCTAATCCCAGTACCAGAGGCACTGGGCAAGGAAAGGTCAAAAAGAACCGAAAGGTCACCAAAGCTGAAAGGAAGCAAAAGGTCACCAACCATGGAACAAATAAAGATTATGCAAGCTGAAGCACTGATCGCGAAGAGAGACGCATTAGTTCCGGGACTGGAGTGGTCAAAGCTAATCCCAGTACCAGAGGCACCGGGCACGAAAAGGGCTGAGCCCAGGAAAGAGCCGGGACTGATGAACAGTGACGAAAGAGCGTTATTCGACGAATTGCGGGAGAAAGCAATAGAGCAGTTGAAAGATTCACGCTCCCGAAAAGATAAACCAGAGCGTAGCTCACAAGCTACTTTCGAACCACGCTCTGCGGATAAAGAAATAGAAGTCATCGAACTGTCTTCGGACCACAGCGCCATCCAAATGGAATGTGACCGCGACTGGACGGACACGGAAGATGAAGGTGACCTTTGCGTCCAACCGAAACAAATCGAGTGGACAGCCGAACAAAGGGCAACAGCGTGCGACCACGATTGGCGCGATGACCTTTCGAAAGCAAGACCGCAAGAGAAGTGCATCCAGTGCTTACAAGAAGCAAAACAAGATGACCTTTCGGAATGGCCGAAATGCAACGCTGCAATTGAAAGTCTCAAGAGAGGCGACTGGATCGAAACGAAGTCGATCATGAGGACGCTTCCAATGGAGCAGTTGCCAAAAGCAACTTACCTCTGGCAAAGATATCGCGAATGGTTGTCTGTAGTGAAAAACTACATAATCTCCAGAGGAAAATGGCTCCATCATTGGCAGCAAGAGGTCGACAACTACATCCCCGGTCAAGCGGATAAAAGTGATCCACATTACATTGACCCAGTATCTAAGCTCGATCAGGAACGGCGACGAGCTATGGAAGAAAACGAATTATGGGAAGCAGAAACAATCGAATTATTCTGACAATTCCGAACGAATTACCTATGGAAAGGTCAAGGACGAGTGGTGATTTTCCCAATTGGACTCGGCACACCAGTGTACGAACTGTTCGGCCTTTACCAGGAATGCCTGAAGAAAGGAAGTTTGAAACCGTTCAACAAACAATGGATGAAGATCATGCAAGAAGTTCCTACGATCGTTGGCCAAGTGCCCGAACTAAAGGTCATGAGAAAGAGACGCCCACCAGGACCATTCGGTTATCCTGGAAAGAAGAAGGTGACCTTTGCACCAGACCCAGATGGAGTCGAGTACCCCGAACGAGGAGGTGATACATGGTGCATGTATGAAACAAAACCAAGCGATGACTGGGTCACAGAAGAGTTGATGGCAAATTGCGTCTTCGTCGGCGATAAAAGACCTAAAGGTCACGGCACAAGCGCCGTTCAAGAAGACGGCACAAGCGCCGCAGAAGTGAAAGAGAAAG